CCATGGCAACAGTTTAAAAGTAGCCCAATTCCATGGAAAAAACGCAGACTTCCCTGCATCCAGCACGAGCTGCAGGAGTCAGATTTGACTGATCACGGAATGAGAGGAGAGATGACTGACAGACCATGCTGGAGGATTTGCTGCTCAACAGATCCTAAGCTCATTGCCAAATATCTGATCTTCCTTTACACAGAGTGCGTGTGATTGCAAGTGAAAGTGAACAGCGAGCGCTCATTCAATAGAGATTTAAATACTCCGCATATTGATAGTGGCTCCCTGATGCGCGAAAATTATATGCAATATTAGAATGTTTGCAGGAGCACTGGACACAAAAAATCATGGGAGCGGGCTGATAATTCAGCGGGAGCGGTATTAAGAAAACAGTCCCTCGCAGGGCTTTAATACGAAAACGCACACAATGAATGGCAACAGTAGAAAGCCGAATCCCGGACATTTTGGGTGATTTTTTTAGGTCCAAAAAGAGGACATGTCCGGGAAAAAGAGGACATATGGTCACCCTATGTAAGAGCAGCAAAAGTTACTGAAGATGACATACATGATTCTTCTGGTCTCTCCAGAGAAGGCGATGGGTGCTGAGAAGAACGACTCCTACATCAAGTTTAGCCTGTCAATATGGAAACAGGATAATATGGAGCATTATTATATACACTATCTATTCAAGTGATGCATAACTCATTATTATATTTTGTATTACCCCATTTCTAATTCTACAATTTCTTTCCAACAGCATTAATAAACAACATGTAAACGACATCATCTAAAATATACGTGTTTAACAGTAATGTTTACATCATTGTCAGGTCACTATTTTCCACATGGTTGTAATTTCATAACTTTCAGTTGAATCCACACTATCTACGAATAATTACCTTGTCTTCCCCATCGTAAAGTCTCACTCCTCTTTGCTGAATTACTAACGTTTCGTTCATCTCAAGTAGCCCATTTGCCCAAACAAACCTGTCCATTTTTAACAAAATAATAAAAAAGTAAATAACAGAACTAGGGCATATTAAACGTGAAGCTGTTTACTTCCGCCTAGGTGTCCGGGAACGCGCCTGTTTGAAAAATACGAAAATCCATTCAGAACTTCACTCTCCCCGCATTGCTTTTAATGTGTGTTATAGAAAGTCATAAAAATGAACTTAATAGTATCCATTTTATTTAAATTTCCCCCATTTATAAGAATTTGAAACCTACCTAATTTGTTTGTTATCTTTAAAAAGAATTGTCAGTATTTATGACAACTCGAAAACCTTAATATAAGTTAGTATTTGAATAATACATTATAAATAGTTTAGAAAAATGCCATTTATTTCAAGCTATAATGTCAACTTCTCTTGAGGCGTATTTAGAAACAGACTCTTTCATGTCGGGGTCCTGACAAAGGAAGTCGCACACGAACTGCAGCCTTTGGCATCTTTGCTAAACCCCAACAAACAGCGACGATATATCAAAATAAATAAAACTATCGCGTGAACTATGATCTTCAGTCACTTCAGCGAAATTTGTAATTGTGCAAACACGATAAAAGACATGCATATATGTGAAGAATGGTGCATTTGAGGAGTGTGCTAATTTAGCACAGGACTATTGTTCCTCATGTCATGATGCCAGCCTGAACTTAAAGAGACCGCTAGCCTTCTGTTGTACCTGCTGAACCTCTCCGAAATGATTCTGGCTTCACTAAAAGGATAGATCATATGCAAAAAATTTGATGAATTCAAACATTGATGCTGTGAATAAATATAACAAGACTACTGCATGAAGTTTCCAATCAGCAGGTGAATGAAGGGTCGTCATTGAGATGCTGTAGGGGGAATTGATAATCAATACAGTGATCAGAGCATCGACAGAGAAGATGGACAAGAAATCCTTTGATATCGTCTTGGACGAAATTAGAAAGGTATAATTTATATTTGCTGCATAATACAGGTTGTCTGTTCTGGAAATCAGTTTGGTTGATTATGGTTATTAAATAAGCAACAGAGGATAATATTAATACTGTAATTCTTGTTTGTTCTGAAGTGTGTTTTGACAGATCAGCGAATCAAAGCTATAGAGCAGGTTCATGGGTATTTCTCCAGTGAACAGGTATGCTGATATACTTACAGTAGAGAACTGTAATTCTGCGGTTATCTTACAACTACTTACCTGTCAAACTTCCTTCCTCAGGTGATTGACATTTTGAAATACTTCTCCTGGGCAGAGCCACAAGTAAAGGCAGTCAAAGCCCTGCAGCATGTAAGATTTCTTATTGATTTTATTCATCTACAGTCTTGTTAGTTGAGTGAAATGACTTAATTTAACTGCATAACATGTTTTTTTCCTCCAGAAAATGGTTGCAATTCCAACAACGAAGGTTGCAAACATCCTTAATTGTTTCACATTCTCAAAGGACAGAATTATTGTACTAGAACTCATAGCTCTGTAAGTTACGCTCTACAGAAATCATGCACATCAGCAAATATCCAAACAAATTGAATATAATGCGACAAAGCAATATGTAATGTATACTTTACAGAAATATTTCTGATGCCCAAAATTACCGTCCCGTGGAGGATGCGTTCCGTACTCACCTCGCTGAGAGGAAGCGTGCAAGAAGAATCCTAGAGCAGGTAAAACTTACTCGTTCATGTGAATTTACAAACTGTACATCATGGCCAAGTGTAGGCTATATTGAATGAATGAGGATTTAAATGCAGTACATGTCTGTAATTTGTTTAGGTGTGTAAGGTGGGATGTAAAGCTCCAGTGGCGATGATTTCATCCTGTGGGATGATCCCAGGCAACCCTTATCCCAAAGGCAAACCCAGCCAGGTCACTGGAACATTCCCTGTAAGTTCCTTCACTTAATAAATATATTAAATACCTTGTAAATGCATATTGCTTCATTTAGTTCTTTAAAATTAATTGTGGCTTTTATTGGAACTTTTAAGGGATTGCCTGCCAAAAAGGATGGAGACGATGCAACCCTGGATGGAAAGGGCATTGCTGCACGCATCCTTGGACCAAGCAAACCGGTATGTTTTAATGGACCGGTGCTACTGCCCAAACATATTTGTTCTTTGAATGTTTCTGATAGTTCATTAGTGGCTAAGAATTCCATCATGTGATCTTGAATAGTGAACAAATTTCTTATTACATCCATTTCTCTCTTTTTCCGCAAGTCACCATCAACGTACAATCCACACAGACCTGTGCCATACCCTATCCCGCCATGTAGGCCACATGCAACCATCGCTCCAAGTAAGACCCTTTTCCTTCAGATTAGAATAAAATGATCAAGAATAAATTGTATGGGTAATAATCTTCCTAATGTACAAGAAACAGTAGACCATGCATATGCCAGCAATGTGTCTGTGTGCAATATGAATGTTAATTTGGGGGACTGGATGCAGAATGTTCTTACCCTCTTCTCTGGATGCTGCCTAGGTGCGTACAACAACGCAGGTCTGGTGTCAGTGGGTGGGGTCATCACTGCCAGTGTGCCACCCCCACCCTACCGAGCCACTCCCAATTTGGCAGGTACAACGTGCAGTTGCTAGCGCTGTGTGCTGCCTTTAACAGCTGTGACTGCAATGCTGTCTGTAGACGCTACCTCACCACGGCATGCTCTAAATCTGCCTGCAGCACCTATAGCATGCAATTTGATCATGCTTAAAACTCTCTCCGGGGTTTCTTTACTGATCTAATATGGTAATTTCCGTATGCCACGACTGATTATAGAGCGCGCAAATTCTAGAATGTGTATTATATTGGATTTTCCAGAGTCTATGTGTGAATGTAATGTTCTAAAAAAAGTTGTTACTTTAAGGCACTTGCAATAGAAGTAAACTACACTAATCACTTTCAAGTTTGAGAGCACAAATGTGCAAAAATGTAATCTTTAATTGTTAGACTAATGTTTTAGACTTGACTTAGTAAAATGCCTAAAATCGACATTAGAATTTTTCTTATTGTGAAAGGTTCTTATGTATCTTGGCATAAATGTTTGAAAGTCTCATATTAACACACATAATATTTAAGCCTTGTTGGCATTACCTTAAATAGTTTAAATCTATTGTAAGTGTCTCACTGCATCCAAGATGTTTGCTTGTTTTTTTCACAAACCTAGGGGACAAGTTGAAATTTTCTATTGAACCCAGAAAATTCTATAATATAGGTCTGCAACAATTTTGCCTAATTAATTTTATCACAAGGGGGCGCTATGTCATATATTGTCAGTCCATGTTTAGATTGTGAATGCTTGCTCTGCTGCATTGTGCATCTTAAGGTGCAGCTAGAGGATTGGGAGATTTCCTGAATTCTCTCTCACTTTCTTTCTAATGCGCCTTTAAAATCCAACATTAATAAACTTAAATGCATGTGGTACCTTTGTCTTTCCCATTTCATAGGGCTTTCTTCTTTTTAATATTTCATTGTTCTTATTGTTTCATATTTTCAGGTTACAGCCGACCTGCCAGTCAACAAAATCCAACCGCCTACATCTCCGGCACACCTGCTATCTCTCCTCATAACTCCACCGCATCTACTCCTGTCACCTCCCAGCCTCACCCTACCACACCAATCACTCCGGTTTTTCCTGGCATGGTCCCATCCCAAAACCCTGGAACCCCCTCCCCTACTCCCGCCCCCTCACCCTCAGTCATCAAAGGGCCTCCTCTCCCAGCTGGCTCTCCCCAAGTTGCCTCAAACTCCAGTGGCCACACCACACCAGTTCCTTCTCCGTTCCCTGGCATGCCCCCTTCTGGTCGAAACACCCCTTCCGTCATCAAAAGTCATACCCCATCTGGAACACCCTGTGGAACACCCGGGCCAAGTACAAGCATCCCTCTTTCTCCCTTCCACGGTGCGCCCCACTCAGAAACACCTTCCGGTGGACTCACATCTACTCCCAGGGCAACTGGTGACCCCTTGACTCCTCATGGAGCTATGGGATTACACTCAATGAAGGGTTACCCACCTTCCTCAGATTCCCAGTTAGCACTTTCACTCCCTGGCGCTCCCTCTACCCAGTCACATTCGGTTATCCGTAGTTACACACCCTCAGGGATGTCCTCTGTCACTCCTGGACGCTCTACTCCCAACATGCAAGGTGTTGGTGGATTACCAGTGCCGCCTGCGGCTCCAAGTCCTAAGCCCTCTCCTGGACTGACCTCCCAGGCAGCCATGTGTAGCCCTGCTTTGTTTACCGAGCAAATTGCCAGCTCCATGGCCCGGCACGGCGGAGGTAGTGGAAGCAACAGTCCTGTTCCTTCCGCTTTCAAAGGTCCCTCCCGCTCGGGCACCCCTTCTCTTAGCTCTCTAGTAATGCCTAACTCTACTGTTCTTGCCCGACCCATGGGCATGGCCCATGGTTCTGCCTCGCCACAATCTTCTTTACCCAGCACTGCTGGTGTAGCTGAACTCCACAGTCTTTACTCAGCTCTGGGCTCTCAATCTGGAAGCAGCCCTACTCCTCATTTTCCAGCAATGTCTCCTTTCCCTGGAACCCAGTCCTCCATTTCCGCCCCATCCACTCCTACTCCGCCAGTCTCATCTGTATATTCTGGCCTGGCTCACTCAAGCGCTCCCACACCCTCCCCCTTTGGCCTGGGATTGACCACAGCTCCCTCCGTGTTCCCGGGTCTTCCTCCTGGCCCAAACCCTGCTTTCCCAGGTTTTGGAGGCTCAGGGCCAACTGCAGCAGGTAGTCCAGTGCTGTCCTCCTTAATGGGGCTTCCAGGAGCCGCTTCCTCAGTAGCCACCGTTGCACCTCTCCAGGCAGCAGCAGTCGCAGCAGGAGTCCCCTCCTCTTCTCCTGTGCTTCCTGGATTCGCCTCTGCATTCAGCTCTAACTTCAACCCTGCCCTTGCTGGCCAGGCTGGGTAAATTTTTTCTATTTAATTATGTCGCATGACTTCATGAAGTATTAACAAGTAGAGAAGTTTGATTGTACTATTCTAGGGTTGATTTAGGGCAGGGGTAGCAAACCCTGCTCCTGGAGGACTACATTCCTGGAGACTCCAGTTCTAGGCCACTTGCTCCAACACACCTGCCTGTTATTTTCAATAAATCCCGAACACAGTTTATTAGGATTTGATTCGCTGATTCAGGTGTGTTTAAGAGAGGTTGGTGCTAAACTCTGCAGGATGGTAGCCCTTCAGGAGCAGAGTTAGCGACCCCTGATTTAGGATTATTTGAAATCAGCAGAAAGTGCTTAACCAGGGGTGCCCAATCCTTTTCCTGGAGATCTACCTACCTGCATAGTTCAGTTCAGTTCACCTGTCTGTAATTATGAAGTGCTCCTGAAGATCTTAATAAGATGGTTCAGTTGTGTTGGAGCAGGGTTGGAGTTGAACTTTGCTGGAAGGTAGATCACCAGGAATGGGACTGAGCACCCCTGTGCTAAACTAATATGTATCATCTGAATTGTCTATGGTACGGCAATAACAGTTCCAAAACCTAGTGAGCTGCCTACTTAGCCAACATTATAGGTGCACAACACAAGGGCTTCTCTAAAATATAGGAAGCATAATTATGCTTGATTATTTTTAAGTTGATTATGTGTATATTTAATTTAATATTGAAAAAAGTCTCAATAACTATAGTTCAGTCGAATCACTAATGGACTGTTTTTATCCACTGCTTGTGTGTTATGTATTGTATGCGTATTTAATTACTGTACTGAAAACCTATTGGAATTAAACGAGTATAAAGTAACTTTTGAAGTTTTGTCTTGGGATTCTGCCTTAGAAGGGCTATGTAGGTAGTAGTCAGCAAGGCAGGTCACTAACATTTTCCAGTTGAAATGCTCTGCAAAGTCTAAAGTCTATGTTTTCTGTCCTTCATTTTATCAGAGTGATATGTGCTCCTTGAAAATATTGGAAAAACTGTCATAGCTATCAAAAGTAAACCATAGCCACAAAAAATATTTTATGGTCATATGGCTGATTATCTTGAAGTTTAGATACCAAGTCTGTCAGCAACATATAACACATGTGAATTATTGCTGTCAAGAAGCGTAATTATAGTGAGCACATATGTGTGATAGCTTTTCAGATAGCACGCTTGCTTTGAATTTAGTATTACAGATTATTGTGCAACTAACAAGTGCATTCTATTTGTGTTAGTAAGATAATCATTAGAACAGCATTATTAATAGGCCTATGCAATGTTGCTTAATGTGTTACTCAGGCTAAGTGGTAGTCTCCAGGCCCCTGGAGGTACAGCTTTCCCAGGGCTGCTGTCTTTCCCCCCAGGGATGCCCAGCTTCTCCACGACAGCGTCTCCTGCTGCCCTCTCTGGTCTTCACAACTCCGGCATGCAATCTGCTCTTTTGCAGGTGGGGCTGTACAATTAATCGAAATTCAGTTTCGATTTCGGACTCCAACGATTATGAAAATATAATAATCAAGATAAAACGATTATTGCGGCCCATTCCGTCCCCTTTCCAGCAGTGCGCTTTCACTCGTCCATAAAAGCCCATTTTCACATGCAAATCAGTAAAATCATGTAACGTGACTTTTGCAAAATGGGACGTGCTTGAGTTATTAAAGTTGATTAGATTTATTAATGTTTTTAAAAGCGCTCAGAGAACTTGCGCTGTTCCTCAGGAGGCTTGCGCTCAGAGATGAAACAGAACAGGGACATCTAAAGTCATCTTTTAGCTGAACGTAAGCGCCTAAACCAGGGGTGTCAAACTCCGTTTCTGGAGGGCCGCAGCCCTGCAGAGTTTAGTTCAAACCCTGCTCCAACACACATACCATGTAGTTTTCAAATAAGTCTAAAGGACCCGATTAGCTGGATCAGGTGTGTTTAATTAGGGTTGGAGCTAAACTCTGCAGGGCTGCGACCCTCTAGGAATTGAGTTTGACACACCTGACCTAAACGGTCAAATACACGCAAAAATGTGTCAAAATGCGGCGCTTGGTGATAATTCACGTAAACCCTCGTCGGTTATGTAATAAATGAATGTTAACAGATGAAAATGAAAATACGTGTGTAAGAGTAAATTGGATCCGTGCGGCTCTTAAAGTGACAGCGGGCTATATTCCTGCTGCTGACTGTGGGCTTAATATTACTCGAACAACAAAAGACAAAGACAAATCACTTACTGCTCTTCACAGAAGTTCTTTTGTAGCTTTAATAAGAAACAAAGGAAGTTTAATTATTACAGTGAAGACTATGCTGTTTTATTTTACATTTGATTATTAAATTTCTATAGGCTGTTAACTGAATGCTTTAGACTTGGATTAAATTTATTTATTTTTGTTATATGGCCCACTAATAATCGTGTTAAATAATCGTGATTATGATTTTTGTCATAATTGAGCAGTTTTATTTGCAGGTAGGCATGGGCTGATTACCGGTTTCAAGGTATACCGCGATTTGAAAATGTCACGTTTCAAAACCGCTAATATTTTCCGTTATACCGTTTGTGCTGTATGCATTGTTTATCATGTCTCCTCAAAGACTGAAAGTGTAGGAATCCCTCAGGTTGAGTGCAGTGTAGAGAGTAACACGACCCTCCTCCTCCTGTTGGTGCGAGCAAGCGGTCAGTCACGTGTGTATGACGGCCGAAGGAGCTTCCTCTGGAACTTACGCGATCGGCAACCGGCCATTATGAAACAGAACAGGGACATCTAAAGTCATCTTTTAGCTGAACGTAAGCGCCTAAACCAGGGGTGTCAAACTCCGTTTCTGGAGGGCCGCAGCCCTGCAGAGTTTAGTTCAAACCCTGCTCCAACACACATACCATGTAGTTTTCAAATAAGTCTAAAGGACCCGATTAGCTGGATCAGGTGTGTTTAATTAGGGTTGGAGCTAAACTCTGCAGGGCTGCGACCCTCTAGGAATTGAGTTTGACACACCTGACCTAAACGGTCAAATACACGCAAAAATGTGTCAAAATGCGGCGCTTGGTGATAATTCACGTAAACCCTCGTCGGTTATGTAATAAATGAATGTTAACAGATGAAAATGAAAATACGTGTGTAAGAGTAAATTGGATCCGTGCGGCTCTTAAAGTGACAGCGGGCTATATTCCTGCTGCTGACTGTGGGCTTAATATTACTCGAACAACAAAAGACAAAGACAAATCACTTACTGCTCTTCACAGAAGTTCTTTTGTAGCTTTAATAAGAAACAAAGGAAGTTTAATTATTACAGTGAAGACTATGCTGTTTTATTTTACATTTGATTATTAAATTTCTATAGGCTGTTAACTGAATGCTTTAGACTTGGATTAAATTTATTTATTTTTGTTATATGGCCCACTAATAATCGTGTTAAATAATCGTGATTATGATTTTTGTCATAATTGAGCAGTTTTATTTGCAGGTAGGCATGGGCTGATTACCGGTTTCAAGGTATACCGCGATTTGAAAATGTCACGTTTCAAAACCGCTAATATTTTCCGTTATACCGTTTGTGCTGTATGCATTGTTTATCATGTCTCCTCAAAGACTGAAAGTGTAGGAATCCCTCAGGTTGAGTGCAGTGTAGAGAGTAACACGACCCTCCTCCTCCTGTTGGTGCGAGCAAGCGGTCAGTCACGTGTACTGTGTAGGATGGCCAAACTAAAGGAGCTTCCCCTGGAGCTTATGCGATCGGCAACCGGCCGTTTTTTGTCGTATTCCAAGCAACTCGTCTCTGTTCTGGACTTGCACAAACTGCGTTGCAATGCAATCGTTTTCCAAAATGTCATTTATGTGAAAATATGAAGTCTGTAAACACCCGTTAACACAGGCCAGAGACATTGAAGACGGACGCACAGAGAAAAATACTGAAGCAGGCAGATCACTCACTGTTCATGATGCACGAACAATTGGAAGAAAATCCTCAATATTGATTTGGGGGTTTATATGAATGTATTTCTGAGGGGAACTGACTGTCTTCAGAAAAGTTTACCTGTTTCAGCAGCACTGCTTTGTTTACGGCGGTAACCAAGGAAACACTGTACCTGGTGTTCCAGAGGCTCCTCCTGCTGTCAGAGAGTGAATCTGCATCTCATTCAGAGAGCATCTGCTGTTTGCTTCGTTCAGGCATGTACAGGTGCATCTCAATAAATTAGAATGTCGTGGAAAAGTTCATTTATTTCAG